GAAATCCCCTTATCAAAAGTTCATCATATGTGACACAAAATTTGGTCTGTAAATGTTTTATACCATTCTATGGGAATCCATCCAGTATTGGTGTTTTACCATTTGCTATTTTAAAAAATTATTTGTTTAATCTCTATTTCTACATGATGGAACAAGTAAAAATCGTTTTTGTGTGTCATCCAAATGTGGTAGGTTAACTTTATTTAGACTTTATGTCTTTATTTGATACATTCTCTGGTTTGCTGTACAATTCTGAATAATTTTTTTAAAAATTGACAGTTTACAATTATTGAAGTTTTATATACTGTATTTCATCCCTTTCACTTTAATAGTTGAAATTGTTGGCCTATCTTTCTTTTGCTTTAAACAATTAACCAAAATCTTGCTGGCTCTTTCACCCTCCTCCTAATATTTCTGTCATAGACATGTTAGCATGAATTCTGTCTGCTGTGACATAGTATTACACAAACACAAACAGACAGAGGGAGGATGGATAGATAGATAGATAGATAGATAGATAGATAGATAGATAGATAGATAGGTAGGTAGGTAGGTAGGTAGGTAGGTAGGTAGGTAGGTAGATAGATAGATAGATAGATAGATAGATAGATAGATAGATAGATAGATAGATAGATAGATAGCATCTTAATTTCTATAGCAATAGTGTTAATTGACAAACTACAACGTATACAACAAAAATAATATTTAGAATTAATTGGACTCCACTTCATATAAAAAAGACAGCATTCTGTTGGAGGTACAATAAGGATAATTCTTCTTTTATCACTTCAAGTGTAAAGGATTTTAAAAATATTTTAAAATTTAATTAATTTTTTAAATTAAATTAAATTCTTCTTCAAAATACATATTTTTACAATATTCTATATTTACTAGGTTTTAGTAGTGGAGTATATAAATATAGAGATTCCCAGAATTTTTCCTTCATTACCCAAAACTGTTTATCAGAAACTCTTATCAAACTCTTATCCTATAAATTCCTTCCTTCATTATGGTTGTAACTTCAGTTGATGAACAAATGGCTGTAACTCGAGGACTACCTATATTATAAAAAAATATCATTGAATGAACTTTATGTGATTTCAACAAATTGCCATAGGTAATTTCATTGATCTCCATCTTAATAAGACTACTTTGGGAAATTTTCAAATATATTTTAGTGCAGTCTTTAATTCAGTTTAAATGTCCCTGTTGTGATGGGTAATGGGTTTAAAGAAAAAAACATTTTTACCCAATTTTAGGGAATTTATTCAGGTTTGGGATGCACAGAAATTATGACTGCGACAAAAGCTAAAACTTTCAGAGGTTAATATTCTCTTGAATTACATAGCTATTACATGGAATTTGACAAATGGGTAGCATAAACGGATTCTCTATGCCCTTACTATGGGCAAAAAATCAATATTGCAACATTGGAAAGATAACTGTATGTATCTATTTACTCAGTGACTGAAAATCTGAGCATACTTGCCATCTGTGAGTGGATTGCCTACAGACCTAGAGTCCTAGACTTTATAATAAAATATGGGATTCATTTCTACAAAATATAGTAGGTTAAAAATAATTATAGTTATATAAATGTATTAGAAATAAATATATAGCACTTCAATAATATTTGCATTAGATAAATATATAGAGAAATGTATCTGTTAACTATTATAATGATATGTTATACTTTAGAGGTTTTTTACTTTTTAAAAGCACTTTTATGCAGTATTTCTTGAGAATATATGTATTTTACTATGTCTTTTTTCTGTTATTACTTAATTAAAAAAATGAGTATTATTTGGTTGATTACAACTCATGAGAGCTTTTGATCACTTCTACTTTGGCTTTTGGATCTCAATACTTTTGGCATAATAAAGGTGCAGTGTTGAATAATTAGCTCTTAATAGGGGAGAGGTTTGTGTCTGTGGAGAGAGAGAGAGAAGGAGGAAGAGGAGGAGGAGGAGGAGAGAGAGAGAGAGAGAGAGAGAGAGAGAGAGAGAGAGAGAGAGAGAGAGAGAGAGAGAGAGAGAGAGAGAGAGAGAGAGAGACTGAAGTCCATAATCTTCTTAATCTTCTCTGGCACTCAGAACTCTTTTTATTTCTGCTGCATGCCTAGAACACAAATCAAGACAAGGAAGCAATCTTACGCTCTAATTATGCCAAGGATATAACATCTGCCATTTCACACAGCCTAAAGAAAGTGCCGAAAAAGACACCCATGCAAGGGATACGCTTCTTGAATTGATGTGCTGGAATAGCACTGAGCAAGCAAATGGCATCACTGCAGAGATAACAGAAAGGCATCTCTTGATTTGCAGGACTGCATCCTGAAGTGAGTTTAGGGTCTGCTGTCCTGGAACAGTTGCTCAGTGTTGCAGAATCATTGTGCTGTTGTACATCAGATTCTGAGATGTGCCTTATCAGCGGCAATTATTTCTGCTCAAAGCAAGGAGCACTTATTGCTGCCCATGAAAAAACCACCTATGTGCCAATTCAAATAATAAATTTAAGTTTAGCCTTAAGTCGCTTTAAACATGCACAGGAAAGGCATAGGAAGACTCTGGCAGAGATTTCTTTAGAATTTGTGCACAGTTTTGCCTTAGCAAAAGAAATAGTTTAAATAGAAAAAGATTGGGACGCTCGACTCATCCTTGAAATTTATATAACATTTTCAGTTCTAAATATTTTCCCCCAGAAACCCTACATTATGTAACAGTTATGTCCTACTTTATCATCTCAACCCCCATGGCTGCAATATAAGACAAGAAACAAATCTCTCTAATTTACAGATTTAGAAATGATGCCTTGTTATTCAAGGTGACTTGCCTGAAGGGGAAGAGGTGAAATAAGTGTCCTTTTAATATTCTGACAAAGAGAGAAACATTCAGGCATATTTAACCTGGTCAAGGAACGAATCTACTCTCTGGATGTGCACAATACTTTGACCCATATTAACCAAACAACTTATCTAATGCACATAAATCCAAACCAAAGTGAGCTCTACCAAAACCTAGCATGTTTTGTAAATGCAGTCATTAGATTTGCAGCTAACCTGATTTTTGTTTAACTATTTTTATTCATAATACAATTAAAACAACAATGGACAAACATGACATTCCAGAATGAATTTTCCTATCAGTTCCTATCAGGGTACAAAAGCTTAATACATCGTTCTTAATCTCTATATAAGCCTCATCTTCTATACAATACAATTATATATACAATTATATGTACAGTTATATATATATATCTTTTAATTCTACCATTAACTTGAAGTCCGAGCAGTTTTCCTTAATTCATACCAACGGTAAAATTTGCCCCAGATTTCGAAGTATTCGTGTTCTGTCTTGTCTTTCATAATCATTGTAAGCCTGTCCATCTCAGCACATGATAAAATTTTATGCAGGATGTCTTCTTCCGTTGGAGTTCCCTTATTCCTCCAATTTTGAGCAAAACCAGTCTGGAAGCCGTTAAAATGTGTAGCATTAAATAAAGTACGCCTTTGTCATGCTTTTGTGTAGTTAAACCTAATAGAAAGAGTTCTGGTTTTGGTTCTACCATTTGCTCTAATATTTCTTCCAACCAGCTGACCTGATTTAAGTGTGTGGCATGAACACAACCATAACTGATTTTTGGAAAATACATGAAGAGTCAAGGAGGTAGAAAGTAGACATAAGCAACCTTCAAAGATAAGGAAGGTCCAGAAACAGAGAATGATGAAGAACAGGACGTCTCATACTGATTTTAACTCACCGACCTCTAAATCTCACAAGTTACTGGTCCATTATGTCTTGAGAACATTGGCTGAAACCAAAGATCACTCCTTTGCCATTATTTTACTCTTTCAAATTTCAAGTAAAAAACTGAGTGAAGATTTTCCTAAACAAAATTAATATTTTACCGTCCTTTGACAATAAAAAGCAGATAAAAAGCAATTAGCAAAATAATACTGTAGAAGATTTTTAAAACCAGGATGGATATTGGTTTTAGAAAGAAAATGACAAATTTGGGCAGAAAAAGAGTTAAATGGTGAATAGATTACAGCTATAGGCTGCATTTGCTGATTTCCTTAAAAAACAGAAATCTAGCATGGTGCAGAGTAAAACTCTAGTCTTAAATACAGAGAGCCAATTTGGTGTAGTGGTGAAGGTGCCGACCTAGAAACCAGGAGGCTGTGAGTTCTAGTCTTGCTTTAGTCACGAAACCTGGCTGGGTGACCTTAGGCAAGTCACCATCTCTTAGCCAAACTCACCTCACAGAGTAGTTGTTGTGGGGAAACCTGGAGGAGGTAGGAGTATTATATAGGTTTACTGTCTTAAGTTAGTTAGTTATAAAGTAATAAAGGCAGGATAAAAAAAATCTAATAAATAATATTCTGCATTTTCCAGCCCATTTTAGCTGCCAATGCATTCTTGAAAAATAAAAATAAAGTGGGGTGGGAGGAAAATGATTCAACAGTTTTGCTTTCTGCTAAGTAGATTCTGCTCCATGCCTACCAGGATATCTGCTTAATATTCCAAAGTTGCCCACCCAATTCTAGCATGGGTCATATTCAAAAGTTTGTTTTTATTTTTGTGTGACTGATATTATATTTCCTATTGCCAGGCCCCAGCTGAAGCTGAAACACACATGCAGGAAAATAAAACTTTCTGGAACGAACCTTTGCAAAGGAGACTCGTCTGTTCTTCTATTGTGAAACTGGCCAACCTAAAAAAAAAAAACTTGTGGAAATTGAGAAAAGGAAATAAACACAAGGACGATAAACACAAGGATGACACACATATCCCTCCCTTGATCAAATTTTGGGAAGATGCTCCATCACATCACATAACAGCGAAGTTGTTTCGGGTTGTTGTTGTTGTTTTTAATCATGTGGAGTCTGTGCTAAAGATTTTGCTCTACCCAAGATGATATTCGATGCTGGGCATCCAAGTGCCAGTGACAACTGATAACACCACAACCCACCAAGATGACCCAATGGTGTCTTGAAAGGGCCCGGGAGAATTACAGGATGTATTCCTGACAGGTGCACCTTCCCTTAAATAGCAAAGCTGAGCAATGGGTGGTATAAAAGCCAGAGACATGGTTTAGGTTTCAACAAGAATCTTGCCAGCTTCAAGCAGAGGACATCTGGGGCAGGTAAGTACCTGCTGCGATATGCAATGCCTAAAAGAAACAAGCTGAATGTGGTTGTCACCAAGAGAACATTTAATTAGTGAAGAACAGTGCAGTTAAGTTTTCCCCAAAGCACTGGAGTGGTAATCAGGAAATGTTCTGATCATTGAAAAAAAGGGAGTTCTGAAACCAGGGAACCAAGTCAGTCAGTTAAGTTCTGGAAGAAGCGTATGATCCTTGGTTAACAGGTTAGGAGCGCCATTCTAGTGATGTTTCAGAAGCAAAAGAGAGAGAGATGTTTAATGGGATTAAATCAGTAATGTTGGATATAATTTTAAATCAGTAATCTTTACATCCATACGTTTACAGTGTGACAACAATTCTGACAAAGCCAGTGCTTTTTTTCTAAAAAAAAAAAAAAAAAAGGTGCTGGAACTCACACATGTTATACAACTGGCCTTGCCTACCCTACAAGGTTCCATCCAAAAAAGGTGCCGGAACTCTGTTCTGGGCATTCTATGAGAAAAAAAGCCCTGGACAAAGTTATGGACAACTAGAAACTTACCTGCCTAGGAACCGAAAACAAGCTATTACTTAACGCCAAAACCATTGTCTGAAAGCTGTATTTCATGTGTTAATAGTAGCATTGCCGTTAGAAGGAATGGCATTTAAAGGTAGCGATTAATTCATATTGAATGTTTAGTTTTCAAATTTTGAGCATGTTAATATACTGTGTATATCCTATTCTTTCAATTCAGCTTTCCCCAACCCTGCTTTCTGGGATGATGGGAGTTGTAATCCAACACATCTTGATGAAACCAGGTTGGGGAAAGGCTGGATTATACATATTCGTGAGTTCAAGACTCCAGATCTGTCTTTTCTTTTAGCTTACTGCAGCTCTGGCTGCTGGTTGCTACTTCTGGTGATCCTATGCCAACAGTTTGCTAAGTGCAGTTTTTTAATTAAGACAGAATAAATCAAGACGGGCGAGGGGGTGGAAAATACTATTTTATATTTATTGTGCAGATAAATGTCAATGCTGCCTCCGAAAGAATTTTGGGAGAGAGTGATTTGCAAAAATGTGGGTGTGGAGAAAATACAGCTAAAATGCTCATGATAATGAAGAAAATGTTTGATGAAGAGAAAGGGCAGGGAAAGTACAATCCAATCAAGTGGAGGGCAAGGGTCTGCCAAAAGCCAACAGATCCAAGCAAAATTATTTTTTTGATATGATTCCGTGCAAATGGCCCTCAAGCCAGTAAACCTGCCAACAGATAGGAAAATGTAGAATTCTGGGGAAAAAATGCATATTAGACATGATGACACACAACATCTACAGTAATGGAGCCTTGGTCTCGTACACATAATTATGACAAGAGGGAACAGTACTTTCGGCAGAGCGTCTTATTTTGATGAGCAGCACCTGTGATTTTTTATCTCACATATCCTCATCTCATGCCTTCACCTGGATTGTTTCCCTCTGCCTTTCTCTGAGCAGGGAACAGCTTGGCCTCCAAGGCAAAACACCTCCTTTGAGAATGCCTGTTCTTTCCAAATTCAGGGAGAGAAGAATTGCTTTCCTAAATAAACTCTTGGCAGGCAGATCAGGGGGTCCATGGGGAAAGCTGAGTTATTTAGACTGAGTGTAATCCTAGAACAGGTTCACATCACAAGTTGTTGCCTTGTGAATATAAGATTCCCTAAAAGGAGGGAATGGAAGGGTCACAATGCAGAGAGGAGCGCCAGCATTCTTCAGGGCACAAGTTGAGCTCCAGGACCAAACAACCAGCAAAGAGTTTTAGACACCACTGCTCATGTTATTTGACATTTAAAAAAAAGAGAGTCAGCTGGAGACAAGGCTTCCGTCTTCTCCATCCCCGTTTTATAAGCATGGAAGCAAAAGATTTGGAGGAGTTGATGCTAGGCTGATGGCGCAGTGGGTAGAATGGGGCTCAAGGTTGACTCAGCCTTTCGTCCTTCCAAGCTTGGTAAAATGTAAGACCCAGATTGTTGGGGGCAATAGACTTACAATGTAAACCACCCAGAGAGTGTTGTAAAAGCACTATGGGGCGGTATATAAGCCTAAGTACCATTGCTATTCCTAAGTTCACACCATACACACAGGCTTGTGGTCCACACTACATAAGTGATGACTGTTCAGGGGCTGCTTGTTGCCAATCTCCAATTATCTCATTGTTCTGAAGCACAGCACTGGGGAGGGAGGGGCAATTGAGACAGGCAGCCAAGCATTGGGTACTCTTTCTCCCCAATGGCCCTCGAAAGAGCTCATGTAGAGGATTTACTCTGTAAAGGTCGCTTGTAAACAAACCAGCTGATCTCATTGCCATTATGAACACCTCAGTGCCCTTTAAGGAGTGGCCTGGGGACAGCTGCCATAGTTGTGCCAGCTTGGCAGTCTCTCACCTCGATGTCTTTAGATTGCTAGACTGAATCACTGTTTTTCTGCTTTTCCATCTGAGAAGCCACAATGGATGCAGCTCTGTTTCTGATCTGGCTGTGTACGTGCATTTTCTGGTCTGTTGCTGTTCCAAACTCTTTTTTAGGGGCCTGGCAAGACGTTTGCGACCAGCCATTTTGTTTGCTATCAACCATTACTCCTAGTTGCATTTGCAGCCTGCACCAAAAAGCTGCATGATCTTGGTGGCCTCGAAGAAATAAACTATAGGTGATGATTCTTCTGTCATAACAATCTGATCTCAGCATTTCTGGCTTCTTCTTCCCATCTTCCATTTATAATATTATGCTGAAGATGCAGCTTAGAAAAGTTTGGAAGGAAGATTGGATTGCTGGGTTTGCCTGAGAAATAGATACTGTTGTGTTTAGAATGTTAACTTCTCCAATTATACATAGATAGAATTTGAAAGGGCTTTTTAAATGATGTCCGTGCAATCTAGAATAAGAATGAATTGGAAGGGTTGCCAGAAAATATGAATTACTTACAAAGTAGTTCCTTTTGTGGAAAAGGAAGACGGTGGTGCTAAATCACAATATTTATTCCTTGCATTAATCAGTGAAGAGAAAACTGGAGACCTAACATTAGCTTACCTATCCTTAAGGAGGAGAAGAATTTTAGAATTTTCTTAGATACATCCCACTTTGGTTATCAGATATCCTTGAATTTAAATTGAGAGTGATTGATGGATGGCATGGCTAGCTGACAGCTTGTGAATCTGCATGCAGTTTCATCAGACCTCCAAAGAACAAGACAAAGATGTGGCAGGATACCATTTTACTTGGAAGAAAACTTTAGCAATGTTAAGGGGCTTTCCTCCTTGATATGCATAAATAATTTTTGCTGCTGATAAAGGAGACTGTCTGTAGCTCAAGATTTGTCAAATGCCAGGAAAATTGGGAGATCCAGACAGTTCAAATGGATTTAAAGATTCATTGCAAGCTTACGTTCTCTACAAGATTCTGAACTACTAATAGCCAAGTGAAATTAGTGGGAGATAAGAGTAGAAGGAATTCAAGGCAGGCTAAACTTAGATCTCTTGTGGGCATGAAGGGGCTCATGACTGATGACACGTTTGACTCCTCCCTCGGGCTCAGCCTAGGCATCTCCTACTCAGGATTGAAATAAGAGGCCCTTGGTGCTCTCTGAGATTGGTTGTTTTCTTGCAAACATTTCATTACCCAAACTAGTTAACATCATCAGTGTGCCAAGGACCCCCCCCCATCTTTTTGCTCTACAACAGCCCAAATATTCCAATATTAAAATATTAGACATACCTCATTCATAATTTTTGAATGCGTGAGAGACTACTCCTTTTAGACATGGCCTTCCTAGATCCCCTGTCCCACCACACAGATTAGGCTACCACCTGGTCTTTGATCTCTTTTTCCAGAAATGTTATTAGCAATCTTCTCTTTGATCATTCATGCCCCTTTGCCATCCAACTATTGTGTAGGGATTTCCATTTGTGTTATTAAATGAAGACTATGATGCACAGTGTGGGAAGTAAGCATGACTCACTTCAAAGTTCCCCTAGGCTATCAGACACTTGGCTGCTGGCGATGGGGAAGGAGCCAGGGAGAACGAACTGCTGACAGCATCATTGGCAAGATCAGTAGCTAGCTCAGTGCAGTAGGATTTATTGGAATTTGAAATCTGCCTGTGGTGTTAGCAGGCAATCGAAAGCTTATTTTGTTTGGATTAAATGGAAGATAATCACAGTAACCAATATTGCCCCTTCACTTAGGACTGAAATCTACTTTGGATGACTGGGTTTTTATCTGTGGAAATTGGTAGGAATTCCTGTTGTGCGTGGGAATGAAAGCTGAAGGGCTTAGTGCCAGATTTCCCAGGTTGTGCTCTCTCTCAAACTTTATCTGGAAAATAGTGTCCCCCCCCCCCCCGCACAACTCTGCTTGGCCATCAACAATTTCAGCAGAATCTCATCCCAAAATTCTGCTACTGACAGAAGTACTTCAGGTTGGAAAAATCCTTCTCATTAGTTACTCCCAGTTTTTAGAACTTCCTATCAAGGGAGGTAATCTATTTCTACAGCAAAAATATTTATATTTGGGCAGGACTTTGGTGCAAAAACAGACTTTTAGCTGATGATGTTGAGGCCATCATGGGGGGGGGCTTATGGTGAGTTTTTATAATTGCTATAATTACTCTTTTAAATGAATTTGTTGGCTGCCTTGATACCATCCATTGGTCCAAAAAAAGGGATATGGTTTCCATAAATAAATAACAAATAAACGATAATTCCAGCCAGCCACAAAGCAAAAAAGATAAGTTGGGAAGGCTGACCTAGGGAACTGTCATAGGAAGACACAAATAGGTCTAAACAGGGTCTTAAATAAAACCTGACTTGAGGCACGCAAACATGGGTAGCATTTGCATTCTTCATAAATACAATCACTGACAAAAATTATGCCCCTTTGCTAAAACAGAATTCAACTCCCTTATTATGCTTGAAAGCAAGATGCTCAAATCTCTATAGTTCTAGCTGTTTGTCCTCTGGGGACAAACCTTAGTGCTGAATCGAAACGATATCATATGTGACTTTTTGTCAAAAGAAATCTTGATATGTTTATAAGAATATGAAAACAATATTAGAAACCATGGCAATAGTAGTGGGAGGGGGGAGTGTCACACAGAATGCTAAATTATGGCTTAGCATTATAAAAAGGAATTATTCTCTTCCTTCTCATCAGCACGGTGGAAATTAAAAAGATGGGAAGCTTCCGTTCAGGATTTACCAGGATTTAGCATGAAGTCCAAAACTGGAGATGCTCATTAAATTATCATGCCATAATTCAAGCTCACTTGGCTTCCGTGAAAAGAATCACATTAGGACACAGCTGTGGTTGTTCCTGAAGATCACGTAATCGCAGTGACACATGTTGAAATGTGTTGTGCTCCAGTGTTTTAGTCAACCAGCCATGCCTTCTTCTCTGCTGCTCTTATTTTTACTTATTACTTATTTTTCTCACTCTTGCTTTGCTATTTCCTACCAGTGTTATGTGGCCCCAGGCAAACTTATTTCTCATTGGCTTGTTTTGGGAAGTTTTGCACAATAGGTTCCCCCCCCCCCCAAGTTATTCAGATAAGAGCCGAGGTGGCGCAGCAGTTAGAGTGCAGTACTGCAGGCCACTTTAGCTGACTGTGTTCAGCAGGTCAGCGGTTCAAATCTCACCGGCTCAAGGTTGACTCAGCCTTCCATCCTTCCGGGGTAGGTAAAATGAGGACCCAGATTGTTGGGGGCAATGTAAATATATATATATACATTGCTTACTGGTGTACACCGCTTAGAGAGTGCTTGCACTTAAAGCGGTATATAAGTCTCATAAATAAATAAATAAACATGTTAGGATGGAGAATATCAGCTGATTATTTTAGAGGGGTGCTACCAATAAAACTGAGCTGGGAAAAGTATCTTTTGGAAGTAATGCTTTAAAAGAATCTTGTTTAGAATTGGTTGGGATGTGTTGTGAAAGAGAGGTACAGCACTGCCACATTTTTTTAACACTCACATAAATTCTTTTTTTTTTTTTTTACAATCAATAGCAGCATGGAGGATGATTTTTCTTGCCAATTCAAAAAAGTGGCCTTGGCCATGGGGGCATCCCTGACGGACAAAGATCTCGACCAGTTGCCCTCAGAAATGAGGCACCACGGTAAGGAACAAAAGAAACCAAAATGGCTGAATTTGTAGTAGGTTCTGAAAGGATATCAGATGTCATATCCAGATTAATTGATAACCTGCATTTGCATATATAGGTAGTCCTCAACTTACAACCACAATTGAGCCCAAAATTTCTGTTTGTAAGCTGGACAGTTGTTAAGTGAGTTTTGCCCCATTTTTATGACCTTCCTTGCCACAGTTGCTAAGTGAATCACTGCAGTTGTTGAGTTAGGAACACGGCTGTTAAGTGAATCTGGCTTCCGCCTTGACTTTGCTTGTCAAAAGGTGGTCACATATGTTACTTACATGTAAGGGTGTAGGTCTATACATATGTTGTATATAGTACGTTTAAATGTGCGTTATGTATGTGTATACACTTTGAAAGCAAGCAACTAAATTTCATTTTTAATGTGTGCCATTGTGCCCACAGTAAAAAAATCACAATAAAGGTAGGTCTGTCTGTTTATCTATCATCTACCTATCATCTATCTATGTATGTATCTATCATCTATCTATCATCTGTCTGTCTGTCTGTCTTTCTAGCTGCCTACCTACCTATCTACCTACCTACCTACCTACCTACCTGTCTGTCTGTCTGTCTGTCTGTCTATCTATCTATCCAACCGCCATAAATACATGTCAGTTGCCAAGTGCCTGAATTTTGATCATGTGACCCTGGGGTTGCTGCAACAGTCATCAGTGTGAAAAATGATCATAAGTTGCCTTTTAAAGCTCTGTTGTGAATTCAAAGAATCTAAATGAATGGGTGTCCGATAGAAATAGAGAATCTCCATAGACATTTAAATGAATGGGTGTAGATCATGGACTACCAGTACTGTAGTTTTCAGTGTTAAATCTGGGCTTGTTACTGTCTGGGATGTGAAGTGAGCCAAAGTTACGTCCAATATATGAAAATAAGAGCTTTCACATACAGTGTCAATAAAGTACTGCTGACCATATTTATATCGTGCTAACAATATAATTCATCAGTTAAAAATTATCCATTCCGTTGCAGCTTCGTTCAATTATACCAAATTCTTTGAATACATGCGGAAGTTTCTGACATCAGAGGAGAAGGAGGTTCACTTGCGAAAAGCCTTCAAATTGCTTGACAAGGATGACAGTGGTTTCATTGAATGGAATGAGATCAAGTAAGATAACATTGGTGTCTATTGCTACAAAGCACAAGGGGAAAGTTAATAAGGAGAGTCGTGTCTGTTTGCTTTATTTACAGATGGAGAGGTACAAAATGTTGGAGTGGAGTCACCTCATCATTTTATTTTTAACTTCATAAGCTAAATTTCTTAATTTCTGAGGAGCTAGGTTCAGTTGGATTAAGCTGACTTCTGGACTTACCAGTGTTTAGAAGCTACTGCAATCATGTTGGGAGCACCAAAGCGCTTCTGGGTTGAAAGGATTAGCGGGTGACATCACCAGTGCCTGGAAAACATCCAGTTGGGGGCTCCTTTCATGTCCCCGCTAAGCTGCCCACCAATGTGGTATGGATCTTTCTATTCATGATCACTTGCCTTCAAACTGCTGGGTTGGCAGGAGCTGGAGCAAGTGATGGGAGCTCATCCTATCCCGCAGCAGCAACCGGGTCTCGAATGCCAGCCTGCTAATCATCATACCAGCATCCTAACCACATGAGCCACCGTTCTTCTTCTCTTCAAGGTTATTTACAGGTGTTTCAAGCCATTTTTTGGCATCTTGTTTCGATGTTTCAGGACCTATCTTTTCCAGGTTTTTCAGGGATTCTTGAAGCTATTTTTCCAAAACTGCTCTGGTTCTTCAGATGATGAGGGGCTTTCTAGAGATCCTTGAAGCCATTCTAATATATTTTCCGCAGGTCCTTCAAAGCATTGATTCTTTTTTTTATTTTTTATTTATTTATAATACAGTTAATAAAAGTGGACATAACGTAACATTCCAGTATAAGTATTTCTAACAATTTGTTCCTCTTCTTGCATATAATTTTTTTATCTCTATATATACATACATGGAGTCACTGAAGCAGTAGGTGTGAACTTAAATGGACTCCAGAAGATGGTAGAGGACAGGAAGACCTGGAGGAACGTTGTCCATGGGGTCGCGATGGGTCGGACACAACTTCGCAATTAACAACAACAATACATACATATTTTTCTATACAATATCTAATTTATTTCTCTATTTACTAACATACAATTATATATATATTTATCATAACACTAGATTATAACCCAGGCAGTCCTCCTTGATTCACACCAATAGTAGAACTTGTCCCAGATTTCAAAATAGTCTGACTCAGTCTTGTCCTTCATTTCCATTGTGAGCCTGTCCATATCGGCACACGATAGTATTTTGTATAAAACCTCTTCTTCTGTTGGGGTTTCTTTATTCCTCCAATTTTGTGCATACGCCAATCTAGCAGCAGTAAGAATGTGTAACATCAGGTAAAATATCCCTTTATCATATTTCTGTATAGTTATGCCTAATAGGAAAAGTTCTGGTTTTAGCTCTATCTCTATCATTAATATTTCTTCCAGCCATTTTTTTATCTTATTCCAGAACTCACAAGCTTTTGAGCACTCCCACCACATATGGTACAAAGCATTGATTCTTGAGGTCCTCTATTGATCTCAAAACTCTAGACTGCTGAAATCCTTTAATTCATGTTTTAAGCCATTTAATGCATGCCTTTTAATACATGTGTTAAGCCATGTTTATAAACTAGATGAGTCCCATTACTAGATGAGTAATTAGAAATATCTCTCTCTCCTGCTGGAATTTTGAACTGATTCCCTGCAATGGACTTTTGAAATCACATCAATAGCTACATGAAAATTAGTCTGAGTCATAACTGGACAGCTTTGCCAGAGATTATACAGCTATGACAGTGCATTTAGCATAAGAATTAATCCTTATATTAAGGAATGGATATGACCAATCCTGTTTTCTGTGGATTCTCTTATATTTCTTATCCCAGAATTAAGTGGATTGAAAGGCAGAATTGGAACTTCCTATCAAGACTGTTCCTACCTCCTGTGTTAAGAGTCGATTAAATGGAACAGAATTCTGGCTGTAACAATTATGGAGAAAAGGTTAACAGATGCAACCTTTACAAATTCGTCATGTCCATTGCCTGTGTTGAATCCTATTACACATGCCTGTTCAAATTTTGTCTTCTGTTGCATCTGATTACCTTACCCAGGACTAGGTCCAATGTCCCTTCTCAGCTAAGAAAGCGCCTCATGCCTCATCATTATACTCTTGTTATATGTTTAGTCCATTTACTAATCACAATTTTAATTTCACATGACTTGATGTATTTTCAAAAGCCCACTCTATCCACATTTGCGGACAATTTAATTTTCCCCATTTTTGTTAAATCCTTTCCCGAGTTCAAGAGGAAAAGATAAATAAGGTGAGCAGAAATCCAGGGCAGGGAGTAATAGCATATCCCTGTGAAAGACAGTGCAGCATTCCTCAAACACAGGCTCCTTGGGATTATCGTTCCTGTCATCCCGCCAACCCATATAATTGGGGGCAACAAGCATCATCATTCAACCCTTACAGCACATCAGGCTACAAAAAAAAATGGATTATTCTGCCAAGCCAGAATATTCGTTTTTGGAACTGCTTTGCTCTTGGCTAAGTTCAGTAAAAATGGGCAAGAAGGAAGAGATGAGGCGAGGATGATGATGGTGATGCAAAATTGTGCATGGGGAGTTACTAAGCCCAATGCGCCTCTCCTTGCTGCGGCTCAGTTTCCACCTCTCTCACCCACAGGTACATCCTAGCCGCAGTGCCCAGTAACGTGCCAATTGTCCCCTTGTCAGACGAAGAAGCAGAAGCTGTGATCCAGGCTGCAGACAAGGATGGCGATGGGAGGATTGATTTTCAAGGTGGGCAGAACAGAGCTTAAGAACACAAGTAGCATCTTTTTCAGAGAAAAGATGCACTCATTCTTCTTAGGCAGAAGACCACACAAAAAGCAGGCAGGGCCAAAACAAAAGCCAGATTTGATTTAGCTTGATATTAAATTAAACAAATTAAGTATTATCTGTGTAATTGTTCCTCATAGCAAAAAAAATACAAATTACAGCTTTGTCATATCACAAAGAGTAATTTAATTTTTAGATGAACTCTATGAGACGTGCTCAAGTTTTCTGCGAGCATTTTGGCCCTCAGTTGCTGCAACACAGTTTTAAAGGAAAATGTGGCTATTTTGCAGCAAATAATCAAGGAAGTATCACAGTGGTTACTGTTCTGCAATGTTCACATCTAGGACCAATTGTGAGGACAATATTAGAATCAGAAAGTCAGAAGAGCTTGTGACAAAGTTGGTTCAATTATAAAAAGCAAGGATTGTGGAACAAGCAGCATGACTGCAGAAGAGAGCAACATCAAAATGGTGGGTGTGACTGGGTACAAAAAGAAAAGAGGCTTTCACACCACCTCCAGAAAGATGCCCTAGGTTCCCATGAAACAAATGGAGCTGGGAACTACAGCATAATGCAGACCTTCCCAGAGGCATGGCTATATTAATATCCACGTTTAACAGTCAGCTACTGCATATTTTAACATTCTTAGGTTAGAGCCAGTTGTTTATTTCTTGGCATATTTTAATCCAGTTGACTTAAAAGAACCACCTTCTTTATTTACAAAGCTCAGACCAAGTGTAGCCCAGAGTGGTGATGGTTGAGGGCTGCTATACCACACTACCACTTGCTGAAAACCATTGAAACAGCTACTGTATGTCTGATAATTAACACTCAGTGGTAAAACTGCCACAATTAGACTCATTTTCTGTAGAAACAAAGCAGTGTAGGGTCCTTGGTACTCTCTGAGCTTGGTTGTTTGCTAGCAGACATTTCATTACCCAATTATGTAACGTCATCAGTGCAAGTGAATGAGGATTTTGCTTCCTGTTTATATAAGCAGCTTGCCCTCCTAGCTTTGGTGGTGGGTAAATAAAGCATTGTTTCGCCTTTCTAAATTACCTCCATCTATAAACTATCCAGAGTTGCAACCTAACTGGAAGAGAAGTATCCATTCATCAGGTAGGATAGGAAATGATCTCCCCGCCCCATGAAAAAGATTTGTTTTTATATTTGGGGAAATTTATATATATATTTGAATGCCAAACCAACTCAGCTTTGATTATCTTATTGCATTGCAGAGTTTACTGATATGGTCACCAAGGAGAAGATTCCAGAGAAAAAATAGAGAAAAATAAACCTACCTCTTACTTCTCTACTCAAAAGTGGTGGGCTGGGCTGGGATGGTTGTTGAGATCTGTTGGTACTTGCATCTCTTATTTTTTTTCTTGAAGTACCTTTTTGGGGGGGGCAGGAAGATTGGGGGGGGCAGGAGGGGGCGGGCGCATCTGCAGCTTGGTAAATGTCCTCTGTAGTGCACCAGAAACAATTTAAAGCATCCATTATATTTCTCTTTGTGACATCTTTTGGGGCAAGCAGCTTGTTATGAAATGCCCTGCCCAATCTTTTGAACCGGCTCTTTCCTGGTTATGCTACATGAGAACGGGAATCTCATTTCCTCAGCCTATACTTGCCCGGTGGAAGACGTAGTTTTGGTAACCGAGCAGGACCAGCTTTTCTTAGAACAATGAACAGAAGACCTATCCTTCCCTCCTCTTTGCTGCAACCTGCCCTTCTCCCTAGTCTTTATTCATTAAATTTACCAGTGCCCTGGCTGCTCCCTTTGCCTGGAGGATTAAATCCTGTTTTCCTTGGCTCTGCTCTTTGGGGAAGTGGAGACCGCTCGGTGTGCAAAATATGCAGTGGGGACAGTTCTAGTTACAGAGAACATGGGGCTGAATGACATCTGGATGAACATGTTCTAAAACCCCACCTCCTCCTAATGCCATGTTTTCCTCTCCTCTAAATCCTTTGCTGGCCTTGCAACACGGAACTAGAAATGCTTGCTTAGGTTTTATGCCACAAAAAAAAGAAAATATTCTTGAGGCAAATAAATGCCATATGTTTTCACCACACTGGCTGTAGCTTACATTTTGTTTGAGGATGTCTTTGACCAGTGAAAAGGGGTTGAGGGGAAACTGAAGACAGATGCATCCATGACACCCTCTGAAGATCTATTCTATCACAAGAGTGTCCTGAAATGGTGACTCTCATTTTCTTTTGCAAACCAGGTGTCAACAAGGGGCATCGTAGATTAGCTCCAAAGATTCACTCCAGAGCTGCTACTGAATTAGCAACCAGGGGGGGAAGGAATCTTTCCAATGCACAGACTCATTCAGAGAAAGACATTCCTTGAGGACTGCAATAAGGGAGGAAAGCTTTCTGCATCTGGGTTTGTCCCAATGGGCTAACTCAGTCCTGGTCACCGCTATGTAACTTATCTGTCTGCAAACACCTCCCATGGCATGTGCCCAGCTTCTTTATTTTATTTTTAAAATGAGGAGCTTACAAAGGGGCAAGGAAAACTTAAATCTCGTGCATAAATTGCATTTCTCTGTGCACACATTCATTTCATAGGCAGGTTTACAAAGCGAGGAGGCGGCCTGTACCCCAATGTTTTATTTGGATAGATGCCCTTTGTTCAGGAGAAAAAAAGTCCATGGAAAGATGGAGTGGTAAGACAGCAATGTGGATGGCTGTTGTTCGACTAGCCATGCCAACGGTGGCAGCCTCGCAAGTACGACTTGCCTCCAGAGGTTGTGGGTGCTCCAACACTGGAGATTTTTAAGAAGAGATTAGACCAGTGGTTCTCAACCTGTGGGTCGGGACCCCATTTGGGGTCGAACGACCATTTCACGGGGGTCGCCAAACAACGCAGTCTGCCATTTTTTCCCCCCTTTTCCTTAGCTGTGCTACTCCCTTTTATTCTATTGGCTTTCAAAAGCCAATAGGAATTGTCCAGGCTGTCTCTGCCCTGCTGAGCCCACCAAAAGTCCCATTCTGCAAATGGTGCTGCACCAGTTGAGTAGTCCTCGACTTACGACTGGTTGAGTAGTCCTCGACTTACGACCGGTTCGGGGTCGCGGCATTAAAAAGGTTGAGAACCACTGGATTAGACAATAATTTGTTTGAAATGGTACAGGGTTTCCTGCTTGAGCAGGGAGTTGGAATGGAACACCTTTGAGGTCCCTTCTAACTCTGTTATTCTCTTAAGTACCCATCCATTGGAATCAAAATTCCAAGTCTGCACACAGGAGCCTTCCCCCCCTTTTAGATCCTGAATTTAAGGAGTAGCTTTAGAAACTTGTATAAATTGTCTTCTTTAGAAAGCACACAATGAACCTCTATCCCCCAAAACCCTATGCTTTAACACAGCACCAATATTCCAATACGAGGATGGCAGGCAACTTAGTCAGTTGCCCATTTAAAAGAGCAAAACTTTGAGTTTACGCAGTTTTATACTTGACAAATCAAAGCATTTAAGAATAAGTCAGCCTGACATTAAACCATTTGACTAGGAATTAGCATTTCGTTTTTGCATGAAAGGTTAATACAGTATATAAAGAATATCTGTAATATATACATACCAGAGAAAGCCACTATCCTAAAATATTCAAAATGTTTCTGATAATTAAAAAAAGAGTAGCAGTCAACTCTCACCTGACCATATCACTATTTTCTACTGTCCCAATTTTTTGTTCCTCTCAAGATAATTTTAGAGAGCTCCACAGATTTTGTTAACTCCTCAAATGACATCATCTGGCCAAGTTCGAGCTGGGCAACTAAATATGGTTGATCAGGGTTAATATTTGGATGGGAAACCTCCAGAGATACCAAGCTTGTAGGTTAGATGGGGAAGTAAAAAAAAAACAAGTCTAGAAGATTAACAATGACAAACCTCTTTGGTCTTCTTGAAAGCAAAAAAAAACTACAGGGATGGTAGAGGGCTTTGGCCTTTAACCTGGAAGGAGAGCCAGACATAACAGCCCCATTTCCTTACTATAATCACTTCCTGCAGCTGTTATAATTCATATTCTTAAAAACCTTTCAGTCCTGAATGCAACTTTGCATTCTGCTTTCTACACTTTGGTATTGCTTTGGAAATATTGGGTTACAATTTCTAGAATTCTGGTACAGGAAGTCTTAGTGATTAGTGACCCGCAGTTGAGACTGAAAACCCTCTTGCTAAGTGCTGTAGTCCCTAAGTGAAGCATCACATGACCACGATTTAGGATTTTACTTAATAATAATAATAAAGTTGGAAGGGACCTTGGAGGTCTTCAAGTCCAACCCCCTGCTCAGGCAGGTAACCCTATACCATTTCGGACAAAAGGCCCGTCCAGTCTCTTCTTAAAAAATTCCAGTGTTGGAGCATTTACTGCTTCTGGAGGCAGGTTGTTCCACTGGTTAATTGTTCTAACTGTCAGGAAGTTTCTCCTTAGTTCTAGGTTGCTTCTCTCCTTCATTAGTTTCCATCTGCCTTCTTTGTTAACTGTTTCTTGTGAGCCAATGGTGAAGCACCCAAATGGTGATCCTATGACCGTGGGACGCTGCGATGGTCAGAAATGTGAGGATCGGTCACAAAGAGTTAATTTTTTTACATCATCCTAACTTTGAATGGTAATTAAATGAAACTGTCACGTTATGGGAATGCTACCTGCACCTCCTGCAGGTCTGTTTTGGTTCTGGGAGCCACAATTCCAGTATATTTGGGGGATACCAAAGGGTGGTGGCTTTTAGTCCTTTTCAGAGCAACTGGTGCAACAGTTTTGCCAAGTTCGTTTCCCAGTAGGAGATACCGGTACTCACGTCTGGGAAGAACCTAACATTATAGAGCCAAGCCGACACCATTTGCAACGAGGCGATACATTACAAAAACTATTACCCTGCAATTCCTTCTTCTAAAGCAGTGGTTCTCAAACTGTGGGTCGGGACCCCATTTGGGGTCGAACGACCATTTCACGGGGGTCGCCAAACAACGCAGTCCGCCATTTTTTCCCCCTTTTCCTTAGCTGTGCTACTCCCTTTTATTCTATTGGCTTTTGAAAGCCAATAGAATAGACTCTCTTGAATCGAGTCTAATTCTATTGGCTTTCAAAAGCCAATAGGAATTGCCCAGGCTGTCTCTGCCCTGCTGAGCCCGCCAGAAGTCCCATTCTGCAAACGGTGCTGCACCAGTTGAGTAGTCCTCGACTTACGACCGGTTGGGGTCGCGGCATTAAAAAGGTTGAGAACCACTGTTCTAAGTGCTTTGCAGCTGAGGATTGTGAAGTTAAAGCACATCTAGAGGGGAACAGGCTAGAGAAAAGGGTGTGTCCCATCTTACATGAATTTGTTAGGAAAAGAGTTTGAGCTTCCTGTTCCAGAAGAAAAAACTCAAGGTTATCTCATGGTGGCTTAAGAGCTGCGGCTGAAGCAGCTGAAGTTGTCAGTTCAGGTAGAGACTCCTGGCAAGCTGCGATAGAGATAGAATTGCTACAGAAGAGGGGAAAGATTAAATACAGGAACTGCCACTAGCATGCAAAGCCAAGTGAGTGGCACAGCCAAAGAAATAATCCAGCTTCTGCAATACACAGAACAGCTGCCACCTATGCTACACCAGGGCTTAGAAATACTCCCAAGCACAAGCACGAAATATTGGTAGGGTCGTTGATTCAGAAAATGCTTAATGACGTACAGGCAGTCCTCGACTTACAACAGTTCATTTATTTACAATTCGAAGTTACGTGGCACTGAAACAGTTACTTATCACCATTTTTCACAACTATGACCATTGCAGCAACCCTGGGGTCACGTGATCAAAATTCAGATGCTTGGCAACTGACTCACAGTTATGACGGTTGCAATGTCCCAGTCATGTGATCACCTTTTGCAACTTTCTGACAAGCAGTCAGAGGGGAAGCCAGATTCACTTTTACAACTGTGTTGTTAACTTTAAAAAAACTGCAGTTTACTTAACAGCTGTGGCAGGAAAGGTGATAAAATGGGGCATAACTCACTTAGCAAATGTCTCACTTAGCAACAGAAAGGTTGGGCTCAATTGTGGTTAAGTCAAATCGAGGACTACCTATATAGTAATGACTCTTTGTAAACCATGTACTGAGCTGATCACCTTGTGGCTAAAAGCTCATGGACGTTTTCCAGAATGCAGTGACTACATGAGGGCAATGTAAGCCCACACATCAGAAGGCCATTCATGATAATGAGATGATGAATAACCAATAACCTCCATGGGACAGTGGAGAAAGAAAACAGAGAAAGGTCCACATTGCGTTTTGCCACCTTTCCAGTAGTTCCTGAAGCTCCAGGAAATATTCTACTTGCA